GTCTGTTCTCCCATGGAATGTTTCCGGCTACCCTCATGCGTGTCAACGACGAGGCGGGGGAACTGCAACCATCTGGTCTGTCGCTCAGACCAGAAACCTGTGCCCTGCCGCCGGTCACTCACTTATTTGCATCGCGTTTATGACACTGCAATCGAACCGCACGTTGAAGCGGTAGCAGCGCCGAGGCCACGGCAACCAGCTGTGCAGCTGGCGCCAGCCAAAAATTAACAAAATCGTCTTCTGTCTGGCTCTTTGTGTGTTGACTGCAAAAACGAAAATACCAAGATAACAAAGGACAAGTGAACAATGCAGTTTTATGACAAGGATTTGACAATGCCTGCGTCTAAATGGGTAACGGCGAGAGCCATAGCAGGAAGTCCATTTAGGGCCGCCTCGACTCGACTCGTCGACAGGTACGACAAAACCCTAAGACGTCAAAACGCGTCTGCCTGTGCCATTACGCTACACTTCGATTCTTATGATCTTATGAATCAAACATGACAAAATAAATTCAGATTCAGGTATCTAATTGCAGCCAAACTTTAGTGAGAAGTGCCTGGCAGGCGGCACTGCTAGGAAGATACATACATATATCCAATGCGGAGCTCAGCGTGAGTGACACAGCCCCCAAGCCCCAATCCCCAAACCAATCTGATCAGGGGTGGCCCACTGCTATCAACGGACTGCAAGAGCACGCACTGGCGGGTATAAATAGAAAGATTTGAGGTGGATGCCACCGTCATGACCACATGCTAAGACATTCTCTATTAAGTAACTCATTCCCCCACTTCGTTCGGAGTGGCGCAGTGGCAGCTCTCGCCCAAAGCAGTCTCGACTTTCGAATTAACAATTTGCTGATGCTGCCGTATTGCTTCTGTGTAATTTCACATCTGCAGGGGTGTTTGGGGCGAATAGAGGCCACTGACACAGATGCAGGCTGCAGAAGTCTGGAGCTGTTGCCAATGCGCTTGCGGGTGTTTCCCGTACCGAGAAGCGTGGGAATCGATGCGATACTGATCCCCAGACCCATTAAATGCTCCTCTTGCTGCTGCCCAGTCGTTCTTTTTGCGTGCCAGAACCCTTTCCAAATTGCGATGTGGGGGTTGTCTGCGTTGTGTCTCGCCAGCAGTCCTGAACCTTTTGACATTAATAGCATACTTTTCAGTATCTAATTGTGTTCCATGGGCATGATTTCTTGCACGCATGTACATATTTAATTGCCGGTGCTGCTGCTCACCTTAGCTTGCGGCTGTCACGCTCCGTAAGAGGGAGTGGCGGGCTTCACTTTAGGTCCCAAATTTTTGCATACGAGCTATAGATCCAAATTAGCATGGCATAGTGTTAATTACTTGTTGGGTCGCTTGGAACTCCTGCGTTCCGTACGCATCTTCCACATTGCTGACTGCCTGAGTTCGAAGGTTGGTGTCTACCGCTGGGTTCAAACCCTAAAACAGATGTGTACTTCCACAAACTTTCCCAAATTAATTCCCACGCAATCGGCTTTGCAGGCATGGAAGAGGCAAAGACATATTGTCGCCAGTCTGCGCATAACTGGGTGCAAATTTCACACATTTCACACATTCTGGACTCAAGGATGCGCCTGCTACTCCTGTCCTTCTGGTCAGCATATGTGCCAGCAGTCGACGGCGCAATTTCCATGAAAAATTGCAAATCAGGCTGAAACTGCCAAAGGTCACAAAGCGAAACCGACAAAAGCAGGGGCGTATCTACGCAATACTCTAAAGGGAGCGACGTATTCTACTACCACTGCAGTGCTTTTCTTAAAAGAATATACTGAGTATATCGAACATTCTTGTAGTGTAAGTTCCCCTCTGAGAAACGCCCGTGACCGGGAGAACACATATGCATGGTGGTGCAGAAGATCCACAGCCGTAGGCTCAGCGAGGTTTCCATGTGTTCCATCTGAATCAGATCTTGGTTCCTGTAAATACATTTTTTAGGCCTGTGCCAGTCAAGGACAATCCTTTCACCACCCGCACTCCTCGCAGTGTATATGCTCGACGGAGATCTGGATAAGAATTTTGGAAATGTGGTAAACAGATTGACGGAAACTGATCCTGGTCCGTTTTTGAACTCAACTCAAGCGCTTAAGCTGTCCTACTTCCGCAGCAATGCCGGTAGTGTAAACATTACAATGGGAATGGTACTGACGATTGACACCCATGGTAGTATCCGCCATGAGTAAGGCCATCATTTTGCTATGAACTCTCTAGAGGTAAAACTATGGTTTAATCGTCACTGAGCTATTATATACATATACATACAAATACATATATATATATATATATATATATATATGTATGCACTTTAAAGTCGATAATGGACCCATGTCAACAGTTGTGTGGGCATGCAAATCCCAAAACCACGTGCCAAGGCCGGTGGCCAAGTTGGTGGCTCTGATGTATAATAACCAACGTAACAGTAACAAACGTGACGTCACATGCCAAAACATGTGCATATTATGGCAACGTTATGTCCGCAGGAGAAAAAATCGGAGTCAGATGGCAGGCCAGGTAATCTTGCTATGCACCTGAGGCATCTAAGGAGAAAGCATAAAAATATACAAAAGTACATATGTACATATAACCAACCCCGGCCCCATCTGAGACCGATTTCTGCTTTATTTTAGGAATGCATCTGTGCTGCTGGTAGACAAATACACACGACATCCGTCGATGATTTAACAAAGGTTTAAAGTGCGCATGAATATTTTTGGATGAATTTACTTAACAAGTAAACCGGAATCAGAAGAATCTGAGGAAGCATACTTTAAAGAAGCAAATCAATTATAAACATTAGCTTTCTTTGCTCGTAAAACGGTCGAGAATTTTAGTCGGATCGGTGTACAAAAATAATAAAAGTATCCGCAGCCTCTCTAAATCTCGCAGGCATGGCCAACGAGGAAGAAGTCAGTTCATTGCCTGCTACCTGCCCGGCCTGGGGATGTGTAATTCCAGAAATTTATCAATCGCCCGTGCGTCTAGCGAAACTATTGACACAGGCCGGAAATTAGTACGAGCCGACTGAAAGCAATTAGCGATCGAGACACCTACCCGGTGCAGGTAGCGCAGGTAGAACAGCGCGCATGTCAATCCGCTTAATTGGCATATTCACCTGAACACAAGTCAATTATAATCTGTAGCACTCACGGGTCCCCTCGGTAATAAGCATATTGATATCGATAAATCCCTGCAGGAATACATACAAATATCGAAACCAAAAATATGATCTTACCTCGCTGCTGCGAGCTGCGAACAGAAGCCAAATCAATAACTGCAACTTTGGCTAACTTTATAAGAACCCTATATAAATAATTCAGGGTAATTCTAGCCGGCCTTCAAGGAAAAAATGGTTTGTTTTTAAAGAGGGAGATATCGAATTTCGCCGACACGTACACGGACCATTTTTGGAAGTCCAGCTCCTTATCCTTGAACTTTCAGCTTGACAAAGGAAAACGACTAAAAAGCCCGATTGCGACCTGAGCCGCGGAACAGAGGCTGTTCGGGTCTCCACTACGCCCGGCAACTGTGGACTGTGCATGTGGAGCCTGTCCAGTCCTCGAAAACAGGTTAGCCGGCAGCCCAATCGCATTCTTATAAAGCAGAACAAGTCTCTAAAAAACGAAAGTCATCATTCAAAAAGTATTTCGCGCGACAGCCACAAACTCGTGCCCAGCGTACATCTGCTGAGAATATGGGACTCGCACTCAGACTCAGCTCAGACAACCAGACGGAACGAACCCTAACAATATTAGTGGTTCTGCCTCTTGTTTTTAAGCGGCAGGGTTTGTATTGTGCCGCGTACGAAGGAATGATCATGCGAAATTTAAACTTTTTCCTAGAATTCCCCTCTTTAAACCCAATACGCATAGAAGCATGCATACGTATGAGTAAATATGTGAGCATTAGGGGACAACCCGATGATGTACATATGTACAAATATAGTTTTGGATTGAATGAACAATATCACGGACTGTTTAGGTCCTCGTACTGCAATCCTTGGGGTAGACACAAAAACGATATTATTGGTTTAAATCGAATGTCGAAGACGTCATTGCAATCATAAAACATGTAGCGCCTCCATCAACTGCAGGTGCATGAGACGGGCACAGCCTCGAGGTCACTGTGACGCATTTGTAAATCCTGGCACTGACAGGAGCCACCATAGATGTCAGCCATCGTAACAAAGCTTTAAGGCAGCTGCGTAATAAAAAGGACAGCCAGCGACACGACTAGTCAATCCTCGTTAATGCGATAACATTTTGCATTGCATCTGTGGCAGATACTCTTGGCGCACTGTGTTCAGTAACATAGGTTTATGGAACGTCAAACTTGTTCGAACGGGATGGCTGCTATCCAACATCGGTCGTGGCAGCCATTGGGGAAACCCCGGAGAATTAATAGAGAAAAGCACAATCTTGGCACCGGATGAATAGTTTAGAATTAAGCGACTCTCAATGGATAAAATATACGGAACATATCACTGTCATTGGTCTGTTAGAGTAAACATAAAAAATATGAAATAATCATATTTCGTATACTTATACCCTAGCATGGTATCATTTCCGATCAGAATCACCAGTCGAGTCGATCTAGCCATGCCCGTATGTCCGTGTGTCTCTGTTTTGAATAGGGGATGGCTCACTCTATGACTATGACTAGTACTTATGAAATTCCAAAGGATGAGGCCCACGTTTCAGGGAGCGCACAATCTGCTTGAGTTTGGGTACGGGACATTGAAGATTAAGTATTGCATTAGCTACAAGAACTGCAAATTAATAAGAAAACTAGCAATGGTCTACAAATGACAATTATTCACGTATTCATTCATAAAACCCATCATCTGCTAGAACGTCGAACATGCTCGACGGCGAGGTGAACCAACCGAGTTCGACCGCGTGTTGCTTTTAGCATGAAGCTGACCGGCCGCTGGCACTTGCAGCCAGTCCGATACAGATACTCGTTCAGAACGTCAGATACTTTCGCCAGATACGGTCGTGTTGCGGTCGGACCTGCTAACAAGTTCTCGTAACCATTAAAAATCGCCAAGAGAATTCCTAAACTGAAAAGTTTGTGAAAGTGCCAAGGCTTCCATACCCACAAAAGCCAAATTTAAAGTCAAATAAAGTGCAAATAATAGGAGCTGCAATTATATACTACATTATTAAATTAGAAATTTAAATCAAAAATTAAAAGAACCGGCGGCAAGCGCCATTAAAGTCGGGTCGAGCCACTCTTGGATTACGCGCTCCCCCTCAGAGGTTTCGCTTTCGCCACCTGTTATAATGGCAAACACCCAACCAGAAAAGCTCTACATGCAACTAAGCGCAGCGGAATTGGCGGCTATTATAATGAAAGGTGAGTTATGCGCCCGAAAATGTCACGGACAACACCAATGGCACCTGTTGCCAGCAAACTGTCTTAGATGTGCAGCGCCTGAACTAAGGAATATGAATATAACTACGACAGAACGAAATTTTCGTAGAAACTTCTTGGATTACAGTCGTATTCGTTCAATAAACTTCTGAAACTAGCATTTCCTGCGAAGGCATTCGGCAAAAGCGGAAAAAAATGTTTGAAATTGAAACGTTGAACGTTGGCAACTGAAGAATGGCAGTCAACGGGCTCAGTAATTACCAAAGCAGCTGTGCCAAGCTTGCTGGCGACAGATATTCCAAATGGAGCTGCGCGGTGCACCCACACCGAGTCCCTGCGTCAGCTCCACGCCGCAGCTACGGCGGCATAATCATAAAAGTGGCAGTCCTTTGAGGGTGGCAATCTAGATACAGACAGATACGTAAACAACGCCAACTATTTGTCGCCATCGTACTTCAGTTTAGGGTTTGCGGGGCGGCGGGGCACGCCGCATATGTCAGCCAGCCACTTTGCGCGCTATACTGAATTGGGGACGACGATGTCGCCAGACATATTGGCAATTTGTCTGTTTGCGGAGCTGGAATGGCAGTTGGCCTCGAGAATGTGTATCCTCATTCACCACCGTCTGCTGACTGTGACAGCTTTTTGAAAGAGAAGTTCGAACTCTCTCTTGTGCATCCCAGACAAATGGATTATAGGTTACATTGAGGATTATTTTATCCCCAAACTGTTTCTTACGTCGCTGATAACATTGCTTGTTCGTCTTACTAATCAAAATAGTACACATCTATGGATATAGTATGTTCTTAAACTTTCCTAGAGGTGTTCTTTTGTTCTGAGAGTCCTGCGCTGTAAAGCAGTTTCTTTTATATAATTTAGTTTGCTAAAGAACGAACTACCCCGGCTGGACAGGTGGCTTCCTTTCTTCTGGGCCCTGGGACACAGTACCTTTCAGCAGACGGGAGGTGCACACACGAGTGCTGGGCCACCGATTATGCCACCAAACTGCATCATCTGGTGTGTTGTTGCGATTCATTCATAAAAGTGATGCGTCATTTTACTACAATATACACCACATAGTCGATTCCCCTAACATACTTGCCCATACATACGTACGTACAAGTACAAGTTGTGATAAGCCGAGGCTTCCCACACACGGAACGCTTCCCAGTGGACCGACCGCCAGCCAAAAGCCGCCTATGATGATAACCTTTCGCTGACTTTTGGCGTGAATATGGGATTTTCTGATGCCTCTGACAGTTAATGTCTGCCGCTTTAAAGTAGGTTTTAGCTGATTTTCACAGGAGGGCATTCATTCTTGGAAGAAAAGGCCAATAACGCGCAAACCATTGACAATTTTCGCGAAAAACTTTTTGGATTGGCCTCTGGTGTTGGAGACGGATCAGATGCATTTAAATAAAGTGGGCTAACACGCTTGCAAGGGGTAGAGCGGGCTGATACTAAATTTATACTGGGAACTCAGTCCCAAGCTCACTAGCTTGCCTCAAGTTTTACATTGGATTTATTTAATTGATTTGATTTATTGAGCCTCATGAAGGCGTTAGAGAGTTGGCATCGCCAGAGCTCTGGTCAGATAGATTATATAACTGGAAATTTGATAACACTCTGAAGCGTTAACCGTATGAGTCCTGCACAGGTGTTTTGATCGGAAGAAGCCAGTGAAGGCGGCAACTCGGAGGCAAACATTTGTCTAAATATAAATTATAGTGTTGAATATAAAAAACGGCTCAGAACAACACACAGGGAATGGAGCTGGGCTAACTGCTGTTATTTGAACAGCCTGATTTCGTGGCTGCAATGCCAGTCAGTCAGTTGCTTTGAATTTGGCTCCGTTGTTTATCTGTCTAAATTTAGAAGAGATAGCGGAATATTGCGCTTATAAATAGTTGTGTCAACAGGCGAAACGCACACCTTCCGCAAAATGTGTACTATTTGAGGGTCTGTACCGCCTTACTGGCTTAGATAAACGGCGTTCAAATTTGATCTTGCTATTTATGTAAATACATATGTATGTATGTATAGGTGCAAAGCCACGTTCGTAGGTAGCGATATTAGAGTTAGCCGATGCAAAATGGTCATATACATCCCAATATATAGACACGCGAATGAACAGATGTTTTGGTTTATTCCAGATTGCGAGACGGTTCGCCACTGGGGCAGCTGGGGTCTTAATTAGTTGGCTAGTTTTTCCTCCCTGGAATTGTCGAAGAGGGACTCTACACCGTCCCACTCTTGCCCCTGCAATCGGGTTAAGCGTTCGCTCATTTGCTTGCGCCTCAATACGTAAAACGCTAACCGGGTTGTTGGCTTCCGATGCAGCGGCTGCAGCCTGAACTTGAACCGACTTTACGCGACTTACGCGCCAGACGCGAAATAAATTACTTTTAACAAGTGAGCTGCGTTTAAACACTTTTGAAATACCTGTGGAGGTCAGTGGTAAACTGACGCGGCTGGAAACAGGTTTCATTTTCTCGAAGCGATGCGAAGCGATGCATAATTTGAATTTACATTTTTGGCTGCATTTGTTTGTGCTCGCCGAATTGATCGAGTCAGCACGATAGCTTAAGGAGCACAGGACAATGAGCAGCAGGCAGCCAGCAGAGGGAGGCAGCGGTATACATTTTCATGTCTAGGATATTAATGCTGAATGGCTTCATTTTATTATCTTAGGCCAGTACGAGCCGATTTGTGCGTATTAAAATTCAGCAGTACAGGAGTGTCGTCGCACAAAAGCAGACAACACGTCAAACCCTATTCGGCATGGCGAGTCTGTTTCCGCGAAAACGGGGGTTTTTTCTTCAAATCGACCAATTTCAATAGTATATGCCAAAACTTTGCAACCGGTTCCAAACGCTTAAACGTCATAGATAGAAGACAACTAACTCTTTAATTTTGGTTTATTTTTAGATTCACCCAATTCCAATGACCGTGACGCAGGTTTCTGTTCCGCCAGCTCGGAAAGCGAAGGCGGAGACGACTTGGTCGTCGAGCACACGCGCATTGGCAGTCCCGACATCACGCCAAAAGGAACAGAAGACGCGTCTGACCCTAGCTCCAACTCGAACTCTAAGCCCATTGCCTTGATCCGCAACAAGCGCAAGAGCACGGAACCCTCCAAGGTCGTGGGTTCGCTGCCCGGCCCTTCCGTCCCTCCCACTGCGAGTATGCATGCAACGGGTCCGCTCAAAAAACGCATTCGCTATACTTCCTCGGCGGACTCAGCGGTGGTGCTGACACCTCCGGCCGTGGACTCTCCGCCGCCCAGTGCCTGCCTGTCATCCTCGCTGAACTTGGATCACGACATGATGCCGAATCCGGCCCACATATTCGTCCGTCACCCAGGAGTCACCACTTTGCATCGGCCGTTCGCCTCCACCCATCCGGAGCAGCTGGAACCGCTCGCCTTGGTAACGAAGAAGACCAAATTGGGCGTCGATAATGAGATGAAAACGGAGCCCTACCCTAAGCTGCACAATGCCAAGCCGCTGACTCCGAAAAAGTGCTACCGAAAAAGATGGGAAAGACGCTACCAGCATCCTCTTCGCTGCTGGACGCGAGTCTCAGCGATGAGGACACGTGCAAGGCATCAGTCGGCCTTCGATCTGATGAGTCCATGTCGCGACCCCACCAGAGCCAACACCAGCACCATAATCAGCGTAACTACAAGAACATGACGCGGGAGCGCCGCATAGAGGCGAATGCTCGGGAACGGACCCGTGTCCACACCATTTCCGCCGCCTACGAAACACTACGCCAAGCCGTTCCGTCCTATGCCAGCTCCCAAAAGCTCTCGAAGCTGTCCGTTCTTCGAGTCGCCTGCTCCTACATACTGACGCTGAGCCGGATGGCTGGCGAGGACTACAGCGCCGACCAGTCCGAGCCATCAATCGCCGACTGCCTGGAGGCCGTCACAGCAACTATTCAGACGGAGGGCAAGGTGAAGCGGAAGAAAGACGAGTAATTGTAGTCATGTAGAGATGGACACCTATTAAGACATTCAATGCGACTGATTGCCGCTGTGTTCCTGATAACCGGGTGGGCTTCAGCTTGGGCCAATACTGTATCTGCATCCAGCATTCCTACCCACACACTCTGAGTCCTGGGCATAGTGGTCGCCACGGGTGGCCGCATAGCTTTAAAAGTTTTCAAAGCTTTGTTTAGATGTAACATAGAAGACCAGGGTGCGAGTCGAGGAATATGAATAATGCGCAAAATACACTATAGTTGTACCATATACATTAGATTTAGAACTTAATACCAGCGATGTGATCCTAATTTAAAGTCGCTTCTTACTAAAACCAGACTAGGTATGGAACATTTAAGGCAGTACAAACAGTCAACAGCCTGCACTCTGAAACTGAAAAGACAATAACCCTAGTGGACAATAACATGAGCGTTTGGCTATTTTCCAAATGTTCACTCTACTTCTACCATTTATTTTCAAAATCCAATTATATAAGAACTGGATTCATGTTTGAAGCAGCCACAACACCCCTGGCCAAAATGGATAGATATAACACTAGTAATAATATTCGTAAATTAAGCTAACAACTAAGAACTCAACCCAAACTTGAACTTAAGCGTACATTATCGTCGAGAAGCAATAAAGTGTGGCTTTTATGGGCTTCTGTTCTCTGCACTGACTGACTGATCGATTAGTTATTTGTTAAACAGATTGCCATTTTAAGTGAGAGAGGTGTTATCGATCGATTTGTAATATTTGCATTTGTTAAAACGAAAGTCCTTAAACATTTCAGACCGTGTAAATAGTCTTCTACGCCCCAATGTAATCTCATTGTATTAGGTTAGTAGATCTACATAGCATACACAAAAGCGTTAGTGCCATAAAGTGGAGAAATATAAAAATCTGACAGTGTACATGTTTTGATTTTTGGCCGGGGTTTTAGGTGAATGCGGACGGGGTTGACCCATTAGTCAGCCATTGGTGCGAGCGCACTAGGGATTGCAAACAGGCACGAAAACCAAACAGAGGTGACGGCGAAAAGGGGTAATTTATGTCTATACGTTGAATAATCTTATCGCTGGCAACAAGCTATTTGGTGTTGGTGGTATATAAACTTAACAGGTGCGCGTCCAGAGGCAGGCGATCGATTCGGGTGCACCCGCCCTCACCGGCAGAACCGCTATCATAAACGCGTTTTGGCACACCACATTCGGTGCCCTTATCGGGCCTAGAAATAAATTTGTCAGCTAATCTAGCAGGCACAAAGTTTGCCGATATTACCGCCAGTTAAGCGAGGTGCAGGCGCACCCATGACGTATTCAGGAACGATGCCGCACAGTTAGCTATGCAAATGTCAATCGAGGCGCCTGCATCTCGTTGACCCAGTGCAATAGCCAGCACAAATTACATCAGCTTAGTAGCCATTAGTCGTAGCCGTAGCCGTTGCCGTTGCCGTAGAAAACAGGTTAATTGGAGCAGTTTCTGATCAGGGTATGATACTGTCTCAAAGCACGGGCGTTATTCAATTGGAGCCAGGTGGTTCAGTTCGCACTTGCTTTTCTGAAAACCCATTCAAAAGCACTTGCATCTGCATATTTATGTGGCTGAAAAACGGTTGTTTTTATATTTTGTTGTTGTATTTATAAAATATGGATGGCAGCGGAACGGAAAATATTAAATATTAAATTGGATTTATGCCGATCATTGAACATGATTCAGCGATTTGACTTTTTTAAAAGTATGCGTGCATGTCTATGTAATTCTACGTATATATTACCTCAAGCTACTATATGTCATTATACTAAGCACTAAGGTGCGAAATTATCGATTGCGGATGACAATGGCTTTGATCTCTAAGGGAACAGCATCTAGTCGCTGATCAATTCTAAACCTAATGCAGTTACCGAAATCTTACACGAAAAAGGATTTCTAAAGCAGTTAAAATTTTTCCATTCAGCTCGATGCCAATTGAATTATACTAAAGAACTTAGCATAATGCAAAGCTGATGCAATTATCAAAGTATATTGCAGGAACGCCAGATGCGGAGTATTCGGATTCATTTCTCAGCTCATTTCGAAAGCGCATTCATTTATCAATGAATTCCCTCTAACCTCTATTAATATCATTGAATACCAATGAGCTTTAAATAATAAGTTCAACATATTACTTAATTACCTAAAGCCTAAGTGATAATTATTATGTTCTTTTGTCTATAAATGCACTTGCGGACATGGGAAAATATAATGTTTTGTGCAAAATGCCAAATATGCAGTTCATTGAACCAGGGGTGAGCATCAGAATGTTTTTTTTTAAGTTGCATTCTTACAAATACAAATATATATTTTGATTCCCTCTGCTACTATTATATACCCCTACCGATACAAGTACGGTTTGTTTCTTAGCCCAACGACAAAATAATGGTATCAATCATCAGAAGATCATCAAAAATAATGTTATAAATTTTTGCAAGTGCACTTAAAATAAGACAAACCTAATTTATATTCTGTCAACGAAACGTTTGGACCTCGGCAGCAAAGATAAAATAAGGCTTACTTGGGGAGCTCCGGGTCATTAATATACCCTTTCGAAGCCAATACGGTAAAGGATCTGTAATTGCTTCAGATTTGATATCCCTTACTCATTGTGTATACCCTCTGTTAGGTCATTCAGACCACTCGCTAAGGCACTGCCCGTTGCCCATTATTAATAAGACTTATTCGGACAGAGTTATTAAACTCTATCTTATGCAGGCCGAGCCAGGCCAATACCCAGAACGAACGAGGATGAGAACTCATTCAAGCACTCGGGATCGAGCAGCACCGAGGTCCTACCTGTGGCACTGGGGTCCGCTCAGCCGGCATGAAAACCCCCGCCAGGTTTGGGGCCTAACGCAGCGCCGATAGCGACAAAGAAATCGACATCTGTTGCCACCTGACAATGGCATGAGCTGAGCTACCCAAGCCAAGTGTGGTTGGCTTAATTTGAGCTCGCGGTACGCTGCCGAGGCAAAAATTAGCATTTGTATAAACAAGAGAATAAAATAAACTATGGCAAGTCGGTGCATCACATGTCGTGACGAGATGTTGTTTTAGTTTGCTCCCAACAGAGAAATTGTTGCGCAAATATTGGCTTTAATGCCCTCTAAAAATACCCCGTCTCCGGTCGCGGTCTCCGCTCGCTGGTATCCGTCCAACTGTAGTTGCAGCTTTAAGTTGTAATGGCAGACGTCAAATATTGTCGCACCTGTCACAGGTGTGGGCAACGTCTATTTCGGGGCGCAACTGCGCGTGTGCCGCCTCCCGCCTTTGAGCGAGTGTGAGTCCAAGTGCGAGTGCGAGGGTGACTCGAACTGCGTATCGTCTTGGCATCACATGCTGGCCGGCCGCGAGGCGTGATCTTTCTATTAAAGATGCGTAAAAATTAGCACTGGTGCCGATGCTGGCTGGACTACTTAGATAATTAACCAAAAATTTACTACTCGTTATAAAGGCAAGGCTAAAAATAGAAGCCGGCTGCCTCGGTTATTGTTTACATGTTAAATTGCTTGCTATTGGGTTTTTTATCTGGGAATTGGGCTATTTTAAGCCAGCCTAAAGTGACAACGCTACGTCTGTCTCAATAGAGATACTATTGATCATTGTACTGGAAATGTTGATATATTTGAAAAATAGATAGAATAGACAATGTCGATTAATGGTGCCTGTAGGTTTTGGACCATCTGGGCATAGATTCTGATATATGAGAAAACTCCGATGCATAATTAGATGCAACACAAAAGTAAGGGTAACTGGTAGTAAATTTACTCAGTACTTCGGCACAATATAATTACACACACAAGATCTGCTGAAACTATTTCTAACCGAAGAATATGTGTTTAGCTGAAGACGTCGACTTCTGAGAACGTTCGTACAGCTGACGTCACTCAGATAGAAATGCAAAATACTTATTTGCAGTGCGGTTGGGATGGACAGACAGCGAGTGTGCGAGCCCTGTGTGCGCCTGTGTGTACACACGATTGGTTGGCGCCTAGATTGCAAGGCAGAAGTGACAATTTTAAAATAAAACCAGGCTGGGGGAAAGGCGGGCCTGGGGCTTGTGGCGGTGCGATTGCATCGGAAAAAGGAAAAGAGGGAAAGCTATTAGGCAACACGGCGCGACGGCTACAGCTACGGCTACTCGCCATCCCATGCCAAATGTTTGTCTAGCAATTTTGGTGTAAAATATTTTAAATAAACTCTTGCCAGCTGCTCCTCTGTCCCACATGGACAACGGCCCGTCTAGAACTTCAATCTCAATATTGAATCAGATAATACTTTTTGCACATATGCATCATCACTAATGGATGCATTTATTTAGCGTTTCTTGGGCCAAAACTATGGCCCAATAAACACTGGCTCACTGCATAGAGACACGCTGGCTAACTGGGCACTGCAGTGGCCAATTAACACGTAATTTGCTATAATTTAAGTGCTGCCGCCAGTCTGCGGCGGTTTGTTATTGTTTTGAGTGCGTAATTGACGTGGCAGACAGAAATTTAAATTGACAGATAGGCGACGACGATGCGATGGCGGTGAGCAACACGCAGTGCGCCGACGCACAGACCGTCCAAACTCCAGGCTGCTCGTTGTCGGCGTCAATCTTTTCCCGTGCGTAAATGTCACTACTTGGCGCCAATGATCCATACGCCATTGGCATTCATTTAAATTGCCATATAGTACTTATGTCAACAGAGTGCGCAGCGCAAGAACACGTCTCAAACGTTTTTAGGAGAATACCGTAAACAGATTCTTAAACCGAAGTTATCCTTTCGCGTTAATAATATCTGCGAAGCAAACTCGGACTGGAAATTGGAATACTCTTTTCAAAAGCATACAAATATGCGTGGAGGCGTTCTCTAGTCGCCAATTTAATCAGACAAAACGCAGATCCACTTTTGAGCCGCGTCTGTAAAGACCCTTTTGGCCTTCAATTTTGGTCTCGCTTGCGTGAGAGAATTTGAAAGAAATCATCGCTCATGACGTTGACTACACACAAGCTTCTGCAAATTTGATTTAATTCATTTTCAACACGCGATTTTCATGGACGAGTGTCCGAGTGTCCTCCTTCAATTTGAATTGTGGTAGAACCAAATTAAACGAACAAATCGTTCCACAACGGTACCAACTTTTTAATTTTATTTCAAATTAAGTTGGAGAAATTAACTAACAATTACCGATAATAACAACTCGGTAACTCAGCTGGCTTGGTGCCGCAGCTCTTGGGAAAGTCTCGGCGAATAAATGCGCCATACAGCAATCTGACGCAATATGCCCGGTGAATTGCAAGCTTATTGATTGCATTGCAGAAGCTATTCCGGCTGCAAAGAGTGAAATACGACGCCCTAAGTACTGTCCGTTATCCAACTAACGATGTCCTGCCCAACAAGGCTTAACAATAACGCCGGACAACCGAGCAATCGATGCCAATTTACCCACCTATTGCCCCACTCAAGGGCCACATTTCACGGGAGAACGGAGTACAAGTGCTAATAATGCAACATCTGGCAGCTCCACTCATTGGGTTCCAGGCAAGGTGGAGGCTGTGTTACGTTACCCCTTCCGCTAGTGGCTTACAATAACTCGAGTGCAGGGTGCCCAGGTATTATTGTTATGATAAGATTGAACTCCTCCTTCCGCCTACCCTTCGTGATGTGTGCAGACAATAGAACTGGGTATGACTGACATCGCCGTTTAAGCACTACGACGCCTTTTCAAGCCACCAAATTTACGCATTTCTGCTGCAGCCATCTGTGGCCGGTGCTGGTGCCACTGCCATCGTCGAACCCAATCCCATCCTAGTAATCCAAGTCGCAGCGTGGACATGCGCAATGCACTGGCGCCAGCATGTCCACACGTCTACGCAATATGCCCTGCTGGACCAGGACCAGCTCACATCATCCCACTCGTCTGACGGCTGTGTTCTTGCCAAATGTGCCACATTGACGAAGCATTTGTTATTGTTATTTCTGTACATATGTGCATTGCAAATTCATTGCCCCCTGCGAAATTCGGGGGACGAACGAAAACATTTCAAAGTTGACAGATTGGGAGCTTAAATGAATAAGCAGTATCGTTAGTTTTGTGAAGCAAACCTAGTCCTGGATTTTAATGCTACATTGTTTTAAATTCAGGAGTTGGTATTCGGTGCTCTACGGCCGCAATTAAATGACTGAAATTTCTGTTTTTCATCAGGGCCACGAAAACTTAAGGACGTGCTTTATAAAACAAAGCAAGTAGCAAAGAAAAAGACGCCGACGCCGCCGGCTGCTTGTGTCGGGAGCAGGGAGTCGGCGACGGCGACGGCAACACCGAAAAAGGATGCGGACGAACGATGTGTCCAACTACCATATAAAAATATGCAATCAAACGAGTGTAAGATTGATCTCGGGCGATATTCTGAGAAATCGAGAGCCGGTGCTCCAGTCTGATCGTTGGTCCCTTAGTTGGAGGAGAACACAAACAGACACTCCGGTAGTATAAACACAACATTTTTAAAGAGGAACGAGCGAAGCGGTCAAATGTCGGTTTGTTAACAAAAAGCAAAAAACAAAAAAAAACAAAACCTGCACGGCATCTTTCCATTTTTGGGGATTTTTCGCCGACAGCAATGGGCAAGCACAGTCTTAGAGGGACTAAAATGTTAAATTATTTTTCAAAGTCCTTCGATTTTTGCATAATTTGGCAAATCGTAGTTTTAGAACTACGTTTCTTGTCTACCAGTGTGCTAAACTTGGTTTAACCTAACATACTTGTATGTATTTACATCCATTCACTTTAACGCGCTCTGTAAGCTTTATGCTAAAGGTAAGTATTGCCTTCTCCAAGTGTCCTTGCCAAATTCAATATCCGCGTAAAAGGCCATTGTCAGTTCATCAGTACGTAATTGATTCTGACAGTGCGTACTCGCATTGACACCGCACCGGACTGAGCGCGGATAGTGTGAATCCAAGGGATTAGCACATACACATGATGATACACACAATGCGTCGTGAACAGGGCACAAGTGATTGATTTCGCGACTTTTTCGAACGGCAGTCGGCAATCGGCAAGTTCCATACAAATAAATATGTGCAAGTCCCAAGCACCAATTTTTCGATAAATTCGCTTTTTCGGTTTTGGAGGCAGTAATTTTGACGCAAGGCAACAACAGCGGGTTCGTCCGAACGCGAAACGAGTTGCATTCCGTTGACCATTTCAAACAATTGGCAGTGGCAGCTGCTGAGCCAGACCCAGCGAAGCGGAGGCCCAGGAGGAGCAGGAGCATCAGGGGCTCCAGGGGCACCAGAGGCACCAGTGGCAGCAGAGGCACCAGTGGCACCAGCGGAGGACGAAGCCTCAATTGAGGTTTAATTTAGAATGTACCCAGTGCCACCGCACCGTGGAGGCATTGATTGCACAGTGTTCTGTGTCTGACATGAGCACACAGTCGGAATATTGATAAGCCTTGCTCACTTTTGCGCCTGGCCGGCTAATCGGCGCAGGCCGGCGAGGACAACATGTTGTAAATTGGTGCGAATGCATTTGTTACCATTAGTCAGCCGAAGTCCGAGAGCAACCCCAAGCCAATGTCGGGCACCACTGCCAGCCCAATTTTGTGCAATATAATTGGACTTTTTTGGACGAAAAATGTCCAAGTTGCAAAAAGTTTCTCAGCGTTAATTATATCTCGATTACATTCGATTTTCGTTAAGCCCTAAAGACCGAAGCATATTCTAGAAAACAAGCTTTCTAACTTTCGAATGAAAATGTCTGCATGCCTAAACACAACATAAAGCGGGAAACACTTCTTATTAACTAATGTTGTTGTCCGCTGGGTAGAAACCAATAAAATTAATAACATAATAATTTCAGATAAAAGGCAACATTGAGCAAGTTATTTGCAAAATGCGATCACATGAAAGAAATATGCCAAAGCCAATGATTGGCATTGGAAAATGTACAAAAAATACGAGCAAGCTGCGCTTATAAAATATGAAATTAATAAACGGCAGGCAGGCAGAGTCCGTGTTCAAATCTCCTGCAGGTGGAGCGATAATTACCTCACGCTCGATGGGACAGGTACAGGGACAGGGATCGGGATCGGGCCCGGGATCGGACACCGAAAGCGTTCATCCTATAGACCAGGTAATCAGAAAGCTGCAAGTCAGAAGCTTGGATGGATGCAAATTATTCATAATAGTAATAAAAATAACATAATCCCTTCCGTCTTTCTTCTTTCCAAACTAGTTTCCAAATTAGTCACAATAAATATTTTTCGCCCACAACAGGAACTCATTTTTGAATATATGAACTTTGTATTATTTAAAGTGGCTTCTTGTTGCCAGAAAAAAAGGACTCGACCGTTGATAAAATCTCATTGATTTGTGGAGTAAGTTTCAGGTACATTTCAGGTGCCGCTGATACTATTTAAAGACATTTATTAAAAAACGAACTGTTGGGTTGTATATGGGCATCTGTTGAAAAATGTACGAATGAAAAATATGTGTTTGTGTGTATGTTATGCAGGCCATAAGGCAACCGAAATGAAAACCTAATTTGGAGGCACAGTCGCATCAGTAATCCACTTCATTAGCAAAATGGTTCGAGGCATGCGTGACACGTACGAACTTGAACCATAAATAATACTTTTTTCTTGGCAGACGCTTGCTACTTCCTTTGGCAAGCCTTGGGAAATATTTGCAGGCTGGACGATTTCGGCCTGGCTTATTTTGCTGCTGCTGCTGCTTTTTGCCGGCCATGACAAAACAATGTCAACTGTCTTCAGAAACACATGTAGACATAAACATCAATTCAGGACAGCCCAGCATGCCCAGTGACGACTCTGGCCAGCCCGGCCATGCTGTGTCCTTAATCGATTATCATTTTTAATAATCAATTTCCGAGGCCCTTCAATATCAAGCAGCGGCTTCTGCTTTGGCGTCCGCGCTACTTATGGGCAGACGCTCAGGCTCTGCTCTGGCTCTGGTCCTGGTCCTGGCTCTGACTCTGGCTCCAGCTCAGTTGATGACGACAACACATTGACATTTATGAGTTGGAGCGCGTCGCAGTGCCCTAGGCCATGCTCTGCGGCGCACTTATATTTTAATTGCAGAATCGCAAAATACTCGGTGAGCATGCGTGTGCGTTTGGTAGAGATGAAATCATAAATCTGCGCACACAGTAAGTGGCAGGCAGGCGTTTGGGTATCATTGCAGTCCTGCGCCTGTCTGTTCCCCCATCCTCGTCCAGCCGGGCCAAATAAATGCAACGAAGTCGACGTGACCCTTATAAATTTGTAGAACATGTCTTTTGACAGGTTGCATTTCCAAACAGCAGCATATTAATTGATCTGGAGGGGTACACAGATACTTTACTTCTCCGAGCGCCGCCAGCGTTCAAAAGCACGCTCCATAGCAGTACGACCTAAAAAAGGTTTCGTGTACATGTAGATCGCAGGTCAAGAGAGTTTTGTATAGGATAAAGTTACCTTTGAGCTTTGGCTTATTCTTGCTGTCCTCAATGACCACCTCCCAGAGGTTCACGTCGCCCCTGATGTTTACAATGTCGACGCATGCCGGGTTCATTTGATGTTTGAATTCGAGCATCAACTTCGTGTTTACGAATAGTTCGTAGTAACCATTGCGGCACACAATCACGATTACGAAAGCACCGCCTGGCCTGAGGGTTGTGTTCAAGCGCGACTCCTGGCAGTTCACCCAATCCCCATTTTGATAGGCGCCCCGTTTAATCACAGCCTTGCCGATCTTGTCACGCTTGCTCCGCAGGAAAATGGGACTGAAGTAAAATGATACTGTGGGCTGGGGCCAAATCTCCTGTCCCTTCTGAAGAGCGACGCTGAAGCTTTGGGGCATCAAGCAGACGCGACCCTCGATCCGCAGGGCGTTTCCTTCATCCAGGGAAAATCCTTTCGGAACCTTCCCGTAGAAGGGAAGGGCGATACCTTTGCGGAACTCTTTCTCCGAAATCATGGCCGACAGGAAAAACATGTCGTTTTCCTCGCCATCTCCGTCGTCTGTTAGATATCCGGCTGTCTCAGGTTTGTAAGTGGCCCTTAACGTTTTGGGCATGGAGTGCGTCAGACGGACAGGATACTCGGACACGCAGTGGCTATTGATGACTAGGTCGGTGACATCGCCAACTACCGTTACAGCTTCCAACCACCTGTAGTGCATACGGTGCGTATATGTCGCAAAATGGTAACCATTCACTGCGATAAAGAAAACATTCTCCGTGAGCAGGATCTGCATCCAAAAGGACTTGCCTCGGCTCAACTGAAAACTTAGGTTCGACGAACTCTCGGAGGGACCCCACATCCCCCGGATGCGTGAGTTGCGTGTAATATAGTTTTGAGGCAGTCGTGCACCTACTTGCAGCAGCACATCGTATAGCTGATCTGGCTGTTTGGAGAGGAAGTTTATGGAAAAGTGCTCACATGCCAGAGGAATCATTCCGTGGAAGACGAAACATTGACCTGGCCTTGGGTACTGGACCACTTTGAACTGCTTCCGACAATGGGCCTGCGAGCGCTCTTCGTAGAACATGGATATGGCGTCCAATTCCCGTCTTAGGGCGATGGTCTTGGCTCCAGGAAACATACCTGTGGTCGCGCCGAATACACAAATACGAAGCAAACGATAACAAAATCAAAACATTCGACAAAATGCCCTAAAATTTTGACGTAATATTCCCGAACGTAGGCAAATTGGAACAGGCTCAGAATTTATAAGCGCCCTCAAATTCTACAATGGACACCGAACTTGATTCGGAGGGGCCATGTATAATTCGTATATTTACTCGCTGTGCTCGAACAAAAATGTATCGAAAGCTCTGAAAGCTACATTTGCCAACAACCTGTTGTAGGAACACTAACACGTTAAGAGCAGGAGAGCTTGTTTGATGCCACAAGTGTTCTCTTCTGTGTGTGTATTGCAAGATTTTATATGGGCCTGCCAACAAACTGTTCACTGTCCGTTCACAATGGAAAGCGTGAAAACAGGGAAATAGAAAATCCCTATTTAACCTTTAATGATAACAAGAGTACATTACACTATTATTAATTTAACAAAATACTGAAAAACCTTTTAAGTGAATAAAAACCTTATCGTATTATTGTCGCCTAATCAATGAGAAAACAAGCATAAAATGAAACTCAATGCTAGTATGAACACAACTAGTATTCAGTATCAATACACATGGGATTGTGATAAATGCGAACATTCCTTCCCCTTATGACTGGATTCTGCTCCAGCGTGACATTCCATAGCTTCACGTCGCCTTGGATGTACACAGTATCGACAAGCTCAGGGCTGACCTTGTACTTGAATTCCGTGATGAACTGCCGATTGACGTATACCTCGAACGAGTCCTTGGTGCACACGATGACCAATATGAATGTTCGACCGGGACGGAAGTTCGTGTCCAGCTCCGAACGCTCCTCCTCCGCCCAGGAACCGTTGAGCCAGGCATTGCGACACACCACCGCCTTTCCTAGGGCGCCGCTGCTGGCCTTCGAGAAGCGGGGGTTTAAGTGGAATGCTATCACTGGATGTGGCCATATGTCCTGTCCCCGCTGCAGGTTTATGTAGAACGAGTGTGGGAGCAGTCGCACCCGTCCCTCGATCTTCAAGCATCGCCCCTCGACCAGCGAGTTCGGCGGCAGAGCTCCATAGTAGGGCAAGGTAAGCCCAAGGTTATTTGTGCTGTGGTCACTCTTTGGCGAGCTCTCCAACTGTTTGGTCGGGGGGCCAATAAGGCACCACTCCTGTGGTATGGTGATTGCCTCCTCGGCGCTGGCGTCGATCTCATCGATTTCATCATCTACGTGCAGCTCTATGTTCTTTGCCTCCGACTCCGGCAAGCGTTGGGGATAGTTCATGACCAGTGCCCGCTGCATTTCCACGTCCTCCACATCGCCCTTGACTTCAAGAATGCGGACGTCCTTGTAGGGCACCCGATGTTTGTACTCGGCGAAGTGCTGACCGTTTACCGATATCATGTAGCAAGGGTTTGTGACGAGCACTTGAATGGAGAATTTCTCCCCGCGGGCCAAGAGGAAAGGCAGTGCTGAGGAGACTTCTTCGCTTCCCCATATTTCCTCCACTTTGGTGTTGCGAACAATATAGTTCTGGGGTAATCTTGGGTTAACATGCAAAGCCACATCCCTCGCCTCGTTGTTGCGCACAAGGTTTATGGAGAATCTAAGGATATGCATAACATGTGTAGTTAATTGGAAGCAGTTGGGAGACGTCCATTTGCTTACCGTTCGCAGTTCACTGGCAGTCTTCCGGAAATGGTAAAGCTGAGCCCCTCGCTCAACTGGCCAATCTGGTCGTTGTAGTATTTTGGCTGTGGATCCGTATATTCATAATAGGAGGCCTACAAAAGGGCACCGCAAATGTAGGATAGTCAAAATAAATATAAGGTAGCAGTTTTGTTGGTAAGTTACTGAATTGGATGGTGATGATTGCCTCCTCTCCAGTTCATGGGGAAATGCATTATGCGAGTCCCAATAGGTATACATTATATCAAAAACTGTGGAAAGGCCTACTTTGGTCCCGAAAGCTAATCCCATTCATGCCACCATTCCAAGTCAAATACCACTTCCATATATTTTATGGGCGCACGTACTTTGGTACTGTTTTTGGCAATCAAAAACCTCAACCGCTTCGACACATTTTTTTTGGCTCTGAACAATATATTGTTGTGGCCGTTTTGTCTCTCATTTTTGACATTGTTTAGTTGCTTAAACATCAATTCAAGCTCTTTTTTTAGGTAGGACTTTTCTTTTCAAACTTGCTAAGACGCCACAGCCCGAATCAATACTCCCCAACTCCTCACTCGGTGCTTACCTCATTCAAGCCACCTCGTTTTTTCCTGCGGCAGCAGCAAAGCCACTTTCCGCGAAGGACACTAAGGCACATCGTATATCCTGATCAGCTGGACAACTGATCAGTAGTGGTGGCAAGGTAGTAGTGATGATCCTATGTACTTATGTACGTAAGGCTCTGGTTCTCCTCCTAATAGACGGAATGATTCAACATCGTCCTTGCATAGTTCACGGCACACGCATTTTTAAAATAGACTAAGCTTATGCTGGAGTATACTTATGTATGAACTGCTTTTAGTTTGTTTAAGGTATGGACGCCAAACTTGGTGTGGAAGAACCAGGAAAATAAGTGACAGGAAACAAGTTGTTTCACAGCTGAGGAGAGCCTACTGCTTGGCCGTTATTATTTTTTGTTCGATTGTCTCGCGCTTCGCGAATGACTCGTTCGAGGAGAACAGAGGAATAGAGGAGACAACACCGCTGTTGTCGATGTGACAACGCCAAAAAGCTTTTTTTGTTCGAACAAGCAACGAAAGTATGTGTTTGTCGACCCTGCTATTCTCTTTCCGTACATGCATATATATGAACATGAGTAAACCACTGATTCAGCTTCGATGTGAAAGCTGTCACTCCAACACAGTATCTGTACACAGTGACACCGACAATTGCCGTATTATGTGTAAATTTGTTAATTATTTTGTCTGAGCAAAACAAACCTAAGCTTGGGGCGGACGCGACTGTGCCAGACAGCTGGGAGAGCTTTCGCAGGCGGAGCATAGCACACCCCAACAATGCGAATGGAGGAAATACTGCAGAGCACGCTAAATGTCAAAGTAAAGACGCAGTAGAAAAGAGAGAACGTGTGGTCGAAAATGAGAATGTAGTGGTGGGCTAATCGACTCTCTCTAAATTTAAAATTTACTAATTGCAAAAACACACCAGATAATGGACGATAGAGCTCTAGTTTTTCGATTACGTACTTTACACTCCTTGCCGTCCACCACCTCGATGTCGCTGAAGTAATCCATCACCGGTTCCAGGTGCTGGGCCTCCACCTGCTGGAACCTCAGGTGCACATCTTGGTCCCGTTCCCGTTCTATGTTTTGCCTGTTCTCTGCTCCCGCCTCAATGGCCGCAAAATCAATCACGTCCGGTCGATGCCGATGCATGTCGGTGTTGGCCGGGATGTCAGCGATATCCAAGAAGTGACGCAACCAGAGTTCCCGACAATGAAATTGAAACAGTTGCAGGCGGCGCTTGGTGCGGTAGTAGCTGAGGCTTCGTTCAATATTAAAGGCGTTCTGCCACAGTGCATCCGACAGATCAACGAGCTCGCGTACGGAGTGGCAGACCAGTAGTATTATTGCCGTCATACTAACACAAAAAACAATGGGTTAACGTTTTACACCGATGCAGAGATGCGAATTTGTTGTGGCGGGATTCACGCTCTGCTCTGCTCTCACTTGCTCTCTTTGCTCTCGCGCTGGTCACTTTCTCGGTCCGCTGATAACTCTCTCTCTCTCTGGATAAAGGAGATGTTGGGGTCTTAAGTACTCTAATTTCTGACAGGTCTTTGGGTTTATTTTTATTCGCGCACTATTACGATTTGTTTTTATGCCGGTCTGACGGTCACCTAAAGTCTGGTCGTTACCTATACCCCAAACTTTGTATCGACACCAAAATAGCTTTTTCCCCCCTGTGATAACGCACACCACACGTAAACGCATATGCGGGGGCGCCGATTCCTATATACATTACGTATTCTTCTATATATGAGACTTCACACGCAGACAATCGCCAAACTGTTCAAACTACCGATAAGTGTTCAATTGCAGGGCTTTCTTATCCACCATGAATGGGCGGCAATGAACCAGGTGATGCACCATGGAAGATTCCACAAATACTTACATCGTCGTTTCCGAATGGCAGGTAATTAACCTGGTCGCTCCGCTTCCGATTGTTGCAGCAGCAGCAACTCATCCCGCTCGGATAGATCACTTAATTTTCACTCACAAACACAAACTGAATCCAAAACCAGTACGGTATCAGAAGAAAGCTGGCCTTAAATGACCTTGCTCAGTGACACAAATAACTATGTAATTATAAAGATATGGTTTCTTATACTTAGGTGGCCGGTAATAAATGTTTAGGCTCTCAGAAACACAGGCTAAAAATATTTAGCAATGCTTTGGCTCGGTATAAACAACCGCCGTCTGTCGCGAAACTTTTTCAACTGATATTTGTATGCACACTTTCATCAAGTTGACTGAGTCAGCCACCGACGCCTTGGCATAGTTCATTCGTATATATACAAAAGCAAAATGTTAATTGTATGACAAAATACATCGAATTAGATATTGTTTGTAGGAAAAAGTAAGGTTTTTACCGCCCCAAAGTTATTTCAAATAATAAACTTTCCAGCGTACTTCAAAATAGTATTACAAATGTACTTGTAGTTTTCTTACAAGCCTTTCTTCAGAGAAGGCAGAAAAATTAAAACTAAATAATAAGCTTCTGGGTAAACGTGGTATTTTACATAAATATATATTCCAAATAACGTAAATTTCAAAGATTTCGCATTGTGGATTTATATATTCTAAGTTTGATCCTTAAAATCGTTGTTCTATAAAAAGAAAAAAGCCTAAAAAGCCGTATATTAACTGAGTTTCTGGGAAATAAAGAAAGTTAATTCATAGATATATAATTGTAAAGAATTATTATAATATAGATATATAATTCATATACATATAATTGATTGATTGATAAAAGGACGATTTCAAATAGTTGTACTATTGTCCTTAATTCAATACAGTTCATAGACTCTAATAAACTAAAAGAGGTTCAACATTTGCCTTGAAGTTGAAGTTGAATCTTTCCAAAATACTTATGCTATTTATTTATCATTTTTCAAAAATAATTCCTCATATTTCATATGTGAAAAAAAATGTTGTGGCCAGAAAGTAATTATCGCTGCCGTGTAGAACGCGTACCCATGGCATGCTGAGACTTGGGGGACGGTCCCTTGTAATACTTAGACAAGCTCTTGCTTGTGCGTGGCGGCCGGATGTTAGTGGTGCTGCTGCTGCTTCGTTCCATAGCCTTTTCAGCGTCCGTCTTCAACGGCAACTCGTCATCGTCGTCCCATCGATCCAATTTCCTTTCTTCATCGCCCGAGTCACCTGTTGCGTCCGTCTTGGATTTACGGCTCCGGCGATTGCGAGATGAGGAAGAAGTCACATCGGTGCGTTCAGATTTCTCGCTGAAAATTAGGAAAATGTACTAGGTAGTTCCTACTAAAAGCTGGTTGAACTCACTCCTTAACGGATAACTTGGTGTCATCCCCGCATGTTGTCGTTTTGCGCTTCAGCAGTGCCAGCTCTCGTTCCGCAATCACTTTCTTGCGCTCATCCGCCGATTCGGCCGCACTGAGCTTGGTCGTAGAATCTGCCAGTTGCTTCACGGGCTCCTCCTGCTTCACACGCTTCAGTTGCTGCTGTTGTTCCTGCGCTTGCTTCAGTGATCGCTTCAGGGCGCTCCTAAGGGTGTCGCGCGAGCTCTCTGGCGCAACATCCTTGCCAAGCTGGGGAAGTCCGATCGCCTCAAGCAGCTTTTGGCCGAGCGCAGCCTTACCCTCCGACTTGCGAATGGGTGCCGTGTCTGCTTTGTCGTTTTCCGTATCTCCACTAGCTCCATTCGACGGAGAAGCCTCAATGGCTTCAGGAAGCTCTTGCGCAATTGCTGGTAGAGTATCGGCGAGTTGGCTCGCAGCCTCTGGCACTGTGCTTGTGGGTGCCTGGGACGGCTCAGCCGTCGGTTCTTTAATTGATTGTATCACTTGTTGAACAGTTTTTTCCGATTGCTGGGATTCCTCAGGGATACCGGTAGAAGATGATTTTAAAGTCATAGTGGGGGACGAGTCCCTATTGCTACGCCCTACAGTTCCAGGCGACTTTAAGGCCTGAACGACGGTCCTACGCCTCTTAACAATTGGTCGTGTAATTGCAGGTGGCTCTGTTTGGGGGGGTTGCTTAGCCAAACGGTCATCTACGACATCCACGGTGTCACCCGAAACGTGTGATTCCGGCTCCAGCGGCTGTGGCTCGACTAGCACAATATCCTCTAAATTAACCACACTGTTTGATGGACTACGTCGTCGGCGGGAACTACGTTTTTCTTTTGACTCATGCTGCTGCTTAAGCAGTGAGATAAGGGCCTCGTTAAGCGCGTCGGCTGGATTTGATCCAAATTGTGATAAAAGCATAGCGTCGATATTCAATAGCTCGCTGCTCACATGCGCTGCATTCGAAGTTGAAGCTGGTGGCTGACCGGCTGGTCGCTCGCGAACCCGTGCTTTTCGCTGTGATCGTTTCACAGGAGATACGCTAATCGACTTCGTGGGTCGCAGAGGGGGGTCTTCCAGCTCTGTGGGACTGGAAGGTACTAGCTGAACCGACGTCTCTGGCGGTAGTTTGTAAGGCATTGCACTGGATAGGTCTGTAAGGTTTAGTAAATCCTTTGTGGCTGATAGGGAACTGTTCGGACCAGAAGTCGCGATAGCCGGTGAAGCCGCCTGTTTATCTTGCTGTTGAACAACCGCCAGCATGGGGCCCAGATAGGGACCCAGAAGCTGTGTGAGGTCCGTGTCCTGTAGGAGGTTGGTATCCGACATTATAACAGCAAACTTTGAGCATTTCAGTCGAGCCATTTGCTCTTCACAGTTCCCGGCAGATACTGGCCACTTCAATGCTTTAAGAATTAGCATCAACAAATCCGGATCCCTTATAACGCTACCCAAGGAAATGGCATCTGTGAGGCTTTTTACATTTGGCATTGATTTTGTCGGGGCTGAAACGTGTGAGCGGCCGGCCGATGATTCAATCAGGTCGAGCGCCAACGGCAGTGACTTGGCTTGACTTGCCGGCACGCCTTTCTTTAACTTTGGCGGAACCGCCTGAACCACCGTCTCTTCGTCCTCCCGCTTCTTCTTTGGCGCAGCAAAGATCATGTGCTCCGGCAACGCTTCCTCTACCGAGGGCTCACACCCGTACAGGGCTTCTTGAGGAACTACTGTTGCTGTCACAGAGGGCTGAATATCATCGACTGGGTTCCGGACTTGTGCCGACTTAAGAAGGGACATCTGCCCGCTGTTTATGGCTTTGATGTTATTCAAGGCGTTTTTAAGATTTCTGCGTTTTTGTTGTAACACGTTGCTGGGCAGATTTGCCATCCCGGTCCCTTGCGCATTAGTAGTTGGCGCAACTGGTATCGCCGTCCTAGTTCTGGTGTTTTCCGAGTTGTCAATTTTGCCGACCACTGCGACGTTGCCGGTAATGCGTCCGTGTGTCTGAATGAAGTTTATTACACCGGCTGGCGAGAGTTTCCTTTCTGGGTTCTTTTTGGAGACACTTGTTGCCGATACCTCGGATGTTAGAGGCACCAAAGAAGGCAAATGCTGCATAGAACGCTGTGCAATCGACATCGGCGCCGATCCGTAGCGAGAATCCACAAAGACGCTACTGCGACGTGTCGGCAGCAAATTGCTGTTTCCAGTTGCAATACTAGGAGGCAAAACACTTTCTCTATGCTCCCTGACTTTACTGACGACTACACCATCATCTTTAGGTGTAGTCCCAGTCTTCGGCTTAGACACTGTGATAGTAGTCTCCGGCACACGAGTCAGTAAAATAGGGCGAAATTCATCTGCCTTGTTGGATCTAGTATCAAGGTTGCCGCCGCCTTCCTGAGGTCGGTTCCCAGGTTGCGGGTTGGACACTGTGATGGTGGTCTCCGGCACGTGGGTTAGTATAATAGGGCGGAACTCGTCGATCTGTGCAAGGTTGTCCTCGCTTCTTTCAGCCAGCTGGGCCGCTGGAGGAACGCTAAGTCGTGCGGCGGCTGCTTCTCGTGCATTTTTGGGCTGCAAGTTGGAAAGGGAATTTTGTTTAAAGTGTTGGCAAGGAGGACAGCAGGCCAGTTTACCAAAGTGCTGAGTAGAAAGTCCCGGAACACAAGCTGAGTGTGCTTGGCAATGTTTGAAAGCGAGGCCGTAGCCTCCACCTGTCGGTAGCACGACTTGCAGAGCACCTTGGGTAGTGGATCGTCTTCAGCCACCTTAAAGGGCAGGAATGTGTATAAGAATTATGTAAGGATTCTTGCTGTTGTTATTTATTATTTGCAGCACTTTCATACGGATCTCTGGTTTAAAATTGCGCGCACTGCTTGTAGTTCTTTCCAGGGTTGGCGCACAAGAGTTTCGGTATGTTTTCGAGACACATACTAAATAATCCGATGCCGCAGTGCCGATCCCCGGCAATTTACTTACGTTCAGATAGAGGTGTCGCGATATCTTATCCTTGAGGCCTCGGGTCTTGAAGATGAACACACTCTCCACAACGGAGTTGGTCTTGCTCTTCGTGTTGGCCGCGCAAATGCGGCACAAGTGCTCGAACTGTGCATCCATGTTAGCTTCACACTGCTCTTGCAGCTCCACGCTGTACAGTGTAGTCGCCCTTTCACCTCCAGAATCAAAGCACCGCACGCAACGTGCCGTTGGCGAAGACGAAATGCATTTAACAAAATCTCCCACGGGGCGGAAAATAAACGAATGCGTCGTCCCGAGCCGCTCACTTCGCGTTCACACCGAATTTACACACACTATCGTATACTAATGCGGCTTGCCTTTCATACTACATTTCGTACTATTTTACACTTGCAATTTGAGAAAGTCGCGCGCCTCGGCGAGACTGAGCGAAACTATCCGAGAGCGCGGAAAACAAACGGCAGAATGAAAAACAAATAATAACAAACTGTATTCCGTATTGAACAGCGAAGGTAAAGAGAGCGCAAGTCCGCAAGTAGAGGGCTGAGAGAGAGGGAGAGAAACGATCTTCTTACTCTCTGTTCAACTCACGTTTTGCTTTCTTCTTTTAACGTTGTCCGCACTCGCTATGCTATGTTTTTCGAGGAAAATATATTTTCCCTTAAACTCTTTGTGTTAATGTTATTAAATAGAGTTTCGGCTGTCCAAAAAGCCTCCTAACTTGGACACGGGGCCATTGCAGTAATTTTTATCAGCTTTAAATAGGCTTTTGCCACAACGATTTCACCAGCACTTGCGTCGCGACGAGAAACGAAAACGAAATAAAACTGAGCGAAATAAACCTTGCTGCTGTTTGCCATTACACTCACCACCCACCCATACTAATGCATTCCTGCACGCACACACGCGCGCCGACGGCTTACTCTACTCGTCTCTCCGCCTCGCCTACGTCGTTTTTATGCGCTCGCTGCGGCTGTGGCCTTTTGGGTTGTTGCTGTGTGCGTGCTTGCTGCCTGACTGTTGCTTTTTTTACACACATTTACACGGTTTTTTGTTTCAGTTTCTCTGTTTATTTTTTTTTCGTGTTTCGCGTACTGGTGTGGGTGAACGCCTGGTATTCAGTCTGTTTCATGGCGCACAGCCAGTTTTCCGCTCTATCCATGTGGCCTCAATGCCTGCCCCTGTCTGGCTGTGTGCGTTCTGGTCGGTTTTTCTTTCTACAGCCGCGGAGGAGAGTGCCGGGTACATTGGATCTATGCAAATAATGTCACAGGCACAACACTTGACTGAGAGTATCAGGAAGCTCTCGCTTTCCAATTGAATTCAATCCAAACGGCATTTTCGGAGCTTTGCAACTTTAAGTTTATGTACGTGAAATCAGAACAATTAGCTTTCTTGTGTGTTCGGTAAAATAATAAGCATATGATTATAACTATCTAAAGGGTATTCGTCGTTTCGTGGCGATGCGACTCGGTACGCCGCACTTCTCCCATACAAAAAAACTAGTTGTCGCTTCGGTTGAAAGTGTGCGTGTCTTATTATGTTTGTATGTATGCATGTACACATTTATGTAAGCCTTGGTGCCTCTGATCTTTCTCTCCTTTTGTTGCTATTTCCTAACACTATCGCGCCATACTTTTTCATTCTGTACGCATGCTGTGAGTGTGTGTGTGTGTGCCTGTGCATGAAGAGAAACTTTTTACGCCAAGCCGTTGGTGTGTATATGACGCCCGACTGCGAATTATTCATTATGTTGTCCTAAAAAGCAGAGCGGTTTGACTTTTTTAAGAGAAGGAAGCGGCCATTTTCAAACATATTATTTAATGGCTAAGGAGCCCATACATACATACTTATTGACGTACATTTTTATATGTATGTACATATGTATATATCAAATTTTGACATAAAACAAATAAGTAGGCAAATGTTTTGAATATTTTGTTTTTTTCTTTTGAAGACTGCCATATTTTTTCATTTTATAACGTCTGCTCTCTCTACACAAACTTAACATACATATGTACACATATACATATGTATGTACAAATATATGTAAGTATAAGTAAGTGAAATAAAAGGCTGACGATCCAACGGGCATGGGTTTTAAAATATTTTTCTGGCAATGTTTAACCAAAGTATTCCCGAGTGTGCAATTGATGTAGACATCTTATGCTCTATTGTAGTCTCTTTCATCACTTACACATAAATACGTACGTACATATATGTACATTTTAAATCCCTACGCCACAAGGTATGCAATGCATTTTTGTTCGATATTTATGATGGTGCTGAGAGAACTTTTGTTAAATATGATATGGCAATAATGCATATCCTGTCATTGCATATGTATATATGCATATTAATTCAAAGATCACATGTACAGCGCAGGTGATGGTGGGTACTTGGGGACGGTATAAGCACGCCCCGGATTATCGCGCGTTTACTCCACGTGATTTGCAACGTAAAAGCCCTCTCTGAGACGCAAAAACGCAACAGACAAACTTGTGTGTATACTTAATATGTACACAACAGATAGAAGCAACAAGAAGAATGTAAACTTTCAGAGCCGGAAGTTTGTATACCCTTTTACAGTTATCAAGTTGGCCCGACCTTATGCTGATTTTCCAATTTGAATTATTGATATCAATATGACAGTGTGATATTTATTAAATTGTATTTCATTTCCGGATCCGACCCATTTATTTAAAAATTAAAAGATGCGGTTAGAAAAATTTCAAGCTTTTGTCTAAAATTATGAAACATTCTGCAACTGTTTGCAAAATAAACCGTGCGCCCCTTGGCTTTATGACAACGAAGAGACGACTGTGCCATACTAAAGGGTGGTGCATATGTACATATGTATGTGTGGGTGGTTACATTTTTTTTGAAGGGCGTTTAGTATCTGGAATCACATACATAATTGTGTAGGGGTGTTTCCTCCCACACCCCGACTGTTGTTTGCTTTTTGTTATGTATCGTACTGTAGGTGAAACTTCTTATTTGAAAAGTGTACAATTACAGCCAAATATTATTTAAAATGTATGCAAAGCAATGACCAAGGAGATCAATTGTAAACCCCTGCAGGGTATTATAATGTTAGTAAAAACCATGCAACGCAGTAAATGAGTCATTTCCGATCCCCTAAATCCTTTACATCAATCAGTAGATCAATATCAACTGTCAAGTTAATCTAGCCATGGCCCGCAGCAAAGCAAGATTTAACCATTCTTTGACAATTTTATAAGGAATTACTCATAAAATTTAAAAATTTCAAGAATAATTGCAATATTTTAAATTTTAAATTTAATAAGTTAATGAGTTTTTGGCTCAGTTAGTTTTCAATACAAGGGTATAGAAATTTCTAGTTCCCAAAATTAGATTCCTTTTTTGTTTATTTTTCGTTGCATACGAAATAGGCTGGGCTGCAACTGAAGACAGATGTATGAAACTCGGATGTTCGTGCATCACTCGCTTTACACGGACTTTACACATCAGCTCTCGGCATACATATTGCCAAAGCATACTTTTAGGCTGGTAGATTGATCGCCGCTGCAACTTGGACTTGTTATTAACTTGCGAATGTTCAAGTGTCTTGGGGGACGGTAATAAACAAAAAACAACGGCTCGAGACAGCCAAATATATGCATACATATTTTGACTTTTAGCCTTCGAGTTGCAGCGCCACGTTCTGACTCTAGCTGCAGCAACAACAACGAATGCTACGTTAGAAATGGGTGCGGATTGTGTACATTGTGGAAATAATACTTTGCATAGGCCGGTGGCTGGGCCGGAGCCAGAGCATTGCTGCTCCTCTGATCCGCAAAATATGAAGGGAACGTGGATCAGGCCGGGCAAAGGCCGCACCTTGGGATGTCAGAGTTGATGGTTTGTCATAATGTATCATCAATTGAATCGTAAGCCCAGACAATTGCACTCCATTTTATGGAATCTGGAGATCTTAAAAATTTTGCACATGGCGTGAACTTTGGGGTGCTGAGGAATCCGCCTCAGCTTGGATTTAAGTCGAGTCATTAAAGAACGCGCCCCAATTTTGGCAATTTCAGGAACACTCTTGCGTCGCGTAAATGCCAAGCTTAAAGTATTAACTGATTTGCTTAATTTAAGAAGTTTCGAACGACTGTAACCAACCATACCATATACATACATGTGTACATTAAGGACTAAGTACTAGATATATTAAATAATGGAGCTCTTGGCATAGTTGGCGGCGTAGTTAGCATGCCCAGCAGTTTATAGTTAATCTGCTTTAAAGCTGCGCTGGCCCGAAAGACATGACCAGCTAGCACTGCTGCTGCTGGCCTGATCTCCTCTGGATCCCAGGATCGTGCTCTGTCTTTCGCTTCTGTTGTCGCAGTTTTCACGAATTTGCTCCAAATGTACCGCAATGGGCGCACCAACGCATCGGGGGGATGGCCTATGGCCATGGTTGTGGTGCTCCGTGCCCCAATGGAATGAGAAATATTGCTTTAAATTATATCTTGTTCTTAACCGTGACATAAGCTGAGCATAGCCTAAAAAATCGACTATACATTTCCGGTTCTTTAGACACATCTATAATTTATATAATATTTTTGATATATTCAGTTTTCACGACGCAAATATGGAAGGAACAGCAACGAGTATTGTCAAAACCTTGAAATACATTTGTGTTCCCATACAATTATAAATATATACTTGTATATGTACATACATACATATAAGAGCAAACAAATTTGTCTTACAAATTGTGAACATAGACCTAAAAATTGTATATACATATATTTCACATTTCGTTTTTTTAAAGAAACGGTTACTTTATTATACAGAAGGAGAGAGGTAAAGTATTCAATAAGACAATACCAGAATTTCCAGCTGTGTTTTAAATATAATTGTACATTTATTAATCAGAATTTGTTATTAAAGGTTAGCTATACAAACCAACAATTAAAATATTGCATTTGCATAATATTTGGCATTACCATTTGACTACATTTTGTTAAATCCCTAGCCATAGAAACAAAGAATTATTCAGCGCCGTATAGGGAAAGGAGACAAGAGCAGTGGTTGTACTTTTTTATAACACCGTGACCTCACAAAGTGCTCCCGGTCAAATGAAAGCAATTGTGTATTACCTCACACAGAGCGCAACAGACCAAACACTCGACCGAGCGGGCAATTTGATTTACAATTGGTTATGGCCACAGTGATGAAGTGAGTACCCAGACGCAGCAACTTAGGCCGCGCCGACCAACAATGAAAGTAAGAGTTGTGTCATTTTCCGAGCGGAATTAGTTGCTCCAGAATGTAGTACTCGCAGGGCAGCGATATCATAGCTGTGGGCCGGTCGCTGGGTTGATGGGGAAAAAGCAGACGGCGAAATAGAGACAGATTGCCCGGTTAATGCCATTCGCTATAGTTGGGATTTGGTAATGCATTGACAGGCGAGGAGGCCGACAGAGCCTTCGTATTGTGTGCATTTCGAAAGCAAGCCGAATTGGACTTTTCTCCCTTACCCTTACCGATCTGCATTTACACGCACCGAACTTGGGCGGTCACGCACTTGAACTTACTGGCCTGATCTCGGAGCGAGAGGGCGATGTAGGCCCTTGCTTCTGGAGGCGGTGCGCATTCGACCCGTTGCCGTTGCCTGTGTGATGGAGGAAGTAAGTGCCACTGCAGATCGGTGGAGGTTCTGTTGAGAGTAACAGTAAAACACGTCTCTTCCGCATTGGAACGGGTTCAACGTGCGGAACTCGATCGCCGAGAGAGGCCATCCTGTCTCAGGCAGGTACATAGTTAACGCTCGTTGTCCCGACAGCAGAACG